ATTCTTATGAATACTGATAGGCAATTGAGTATTATGTGTTGTTGATAGGTTATCTGTGAATTGTTTCTGTGATTCAAAGGTTTTTTTTTCAGAATGGCAAAACGTCAAACACAATATCTGGATAAGTATCGATCGTTCGCCAAAAATGTTGGTCAAATTGATACGGATCAAGCGAAACTGCGTGACGATTGCCTGAATTACTGGCGAGTCCCAGACATTCCTCGAAGGCGTCCTATCGATGAATCTCTCGAAGCGTCAATTGGTCGTCTTTGCCGACAGGTGAAGACAGTTATGAGTTATCATCTTCGAAGGCTTGAATATGAATTTGGGATGTTCATTCTGAAAGGTTCAGGTGATCGATTTCGAGCAACTTCGACGAAAACCACCCGCGTTCAAAGAGAGCGTATTGGAGAGCGATAACGACAGTCGAATGCGTTTTGCCGAGTTACGAATGTGCGCGTTGACTGAGAAAGAACAACCCACACTGCTGTTTTCTGTGGTTGGTTTCAACAGTCTTGGTTCATTTTCATTCAGGATTGTAAAATCTGATTGTGTAATGAATGGTTCATTGTTGGTAGAATGGTGATGCCTTTCAGATTGCAGCAGTATTAATGGCGATATTTTTTTCTGTTTTCGATGAAAATTCACGAGTAATTATCGGTTTTAGGGCTGTTTTCTTTTTGATTTCAACGAAAATAGTTGCTTTTGCTTTCAGCGTATGGGAATTTTCATTCGATCGCCGAATTCAATGTCTGGCTTTGAAAAATTGGATATATTGCCACGAATTCCCAAAGATACAGTTCTGTTCGTTCATAAGACAATGGCGTACAGCAAGGTTTGAAACTTGAGACTTTGAAGGCGATTCACTTTGAAGTCCTTTTCACTTTGAAGAAATATTGTCCCCAATTGAATTGAATGAAAGAATTAGAGTTGCAGTTGAGTGATCAAGGTAAACCGGAAGATGGTCGTTGGGTGATACGAGTTTTGGATGGGGCCGTGCTGAACGGAGACGACATCAGTGCGTTGTCGTATGACGAACGAATGGAAGCAATCGAAAAGCTGTGTGCGGCAGTGAATTGCGTTCATCAACAAAAATCACTGCAATACGCCAATACATCAACGCCGAACTCGTATCCGAATGCGCGTAACAAACGCTCAAGGCCACGCACAATGGCACCGTCGAATCTGGTCGTTGCGGCCAAAGTTAGTAGTTTTTTCTTCAGTGGTGTTTGTTTAGTAGGCGTTTTGATAGAGATCAAAGAATTTCCTTTTTATTTGAAAGAATTTTCATTTTGTGAAGATTCAGTTATGTATAGTTAAGATTCATTTATGTATTCAGTTGCATCTCTACGGTCCTGTTGTAGGTGTATAAATTTGATGAAATTGGCCAAGAAACGGAACGTTTCAATGTGACTCGATGGAAAGGCGAAGAATTGGCCATTGTTGAAGAATCAAATCATAAATTTATATGCAGAGGAATGAGAGTTGTGTCGTTGTTAGCAGGTTAGACGTCTGAATTTTCTCAAATTCTTATTGCACTAGTAGGAAGTTGTTTGAGTAAATTGAGGTGGTTTACATAGGGTTGATTGTAATGATGCTTATTTTCTGTAATTGTTTGTTTGATTTGAGCATTTTGAAGGCGATTTTCAAAATTTGCTTCAGATCCATGGGTGTTGTGCTGGTCGAAAGGCCAGAAGAAACCGTACGTTTTCGATAAGAGCGGTCGACACGTTGCCGTCTTCTGTGAGCATTCAATACCTAAAGAGAATTGCGTTAGCTTTTGGAAAACGATCGTCTCAAAAAAATCAACGTTAGTGTTTCCTTGTTAGAGGCATATTTCAAAGAATCAGTGATCAGTGGAGAAAATAGTTTTTGAATTGATTAAAATGAAAATTTCAGAAGCACAAAAGCGACCGAAAATTACCAGTGGCATTGGGATTGGGCGCAGGATTTCTTGGACGGTTACGGATATGGTCCTAAAGCAATCCTGGGTGATGACGAGCATCAAGCTGGTCCAACATGGCGATCGGTTTCTCGAATCGCACAGGATCAGAAGCAAAAAATTTGTCCTTCCGGATGATATTCTGCTTATAATTTGAGTGTTTGCACCGATTTAGTTTATATGATGCGGGTTTTTAGAGCTGGGGAGTGTGGAAAATAGACGAACAATTCAGGAGATGCTGAGGAAATTTTAGAGTTTGCAGCAACAATCTCTTGCTGTCTGTTTGGTGTATTGAAATTATTTGAATTTGAATTGGGTTTGTTGTGTGTTAGATGAAAGAGTTTTATGTGAATAGTTGTTGATTAGTAGTGACAGTGTTTGATGGTTAAGGAATTAATGAACGATTTTGAAGGGATTCTTTGAATAGGGGTGAATTTTCTGATGAAGTAATTTGAAAATTATGTGGAAAAAAATAGTCTCCAGCAGATGCAGCACATTCCTTAATTTGTGCCTGAATGTTTAGTTAGTGGTGAGTGTTTTTGCATGGTTGTTGTGTATGTTGTGCGGGATTGAGTGAGTGCTTTTGCGTTCGTTGTTCGATTTACAATTGCAATTACTTCAGTGATCCCAGTGAATCTTTTAGAGTAATACCATATTGGGAATGTTGATTCTTTTGGAAGATTTGAAGTGGTCTTTGAATGTTTTGATTGTTTTTTGTTGTTTTCTGATGGCATTTTGTAATTTGATTGAGTTAAATCTTAAAAATGTTGTAATGTCGATGCTGTGCATTCGGCCGATTGATTATGCATTGTTCTCATCGTGTCATGTAAAAATAATATTCATTCTGCAACATTTCATCAGATTGCATTCGAATTAATTTGTTATGAATATCGTTTTGTTGTTATTGTTGTCTTCGTTGTTGTTCTTTCATTAATATTTGAATTAATCTTATTGTTGCTGTTGAGTTATTGTTATGATTTGATCAATACAATGGAATGGAATGATTATGATTATGTATGTTTGATTTGGTATTGTTTT